GACGGCAGCGAAGGTGAGGGGGAAATTCAGAGAAGGGAAACAAAAGGGAAGCACAAGCAGAAAACAAGGAAGAAAAACGAAAAAGGCAAAAACATCGAGCATGAATACACAAGGTTAAAAAAAAAAAAACGAAGAGCATGAATGGTTATCACTGAATACACAATGCACCCACAGCACTTCCTTGGACCATTTGGTCCCGGCCAGGAATTCCAATGGAACTGAAATTCACAACAAACTAGAGCATTGGTCACAAACAAACCTTATGCTTGCAGACGTGTTAAGCTTGCATCCTTTCACACGTGCTGCTTGCATTGCTTGCACACGTGCGTGCTAGCATGCTTGCACAGGTGTCCAGTTGCATGCTTGCACACGAGTCCGCTTGCATGCAAGCTCACGTGCCTGCTCGCATGCTTGCACACGTGCCTGCTCCCATGCTTGCACACATGCCTGCTCCTATGCTTGCACACGTGTGTGCTTGCACGCTTGCACACGTGTCCGCTTGCATGTTTGCACGTGTTTGCTTGCAATGTTGCAGACGTGTGTGCATGCATGCTTGCACGCGTGTCCACTTGCATGTTTGTGCGTGTTTGCTCGCGTGCTTGCATACATGCTTCCATGCTTGCACACGTGCTTCCATGCTTGCAGACACGTGTTAGACCATATGTCTACCAAAAGAAAGCCCGTCAGGAGACAAGATAGCATCCTCTGCAAGTACTCTAAACACAATCAGATGCACACAATCCTGTTAACACATAATCAGATGAGCAGCTGTTTACACAATTGGATGCATACAAACATGAAACCACCTAAACCAACATTGACACACTTATAAAATGACAGTTCCGCAGTGCGAATCATAGGCAATCCGTGGTACAAGCTGGTTTTAAAAGAGCCTAGAACAAGCGGCAAACTGATCAAATTGCAGGCAGAAAAGGATCTTAGCATCTGAGATATGCCCAAGGACACTGCGTACTCAGGTCACAGGATTTCATGATTTGCATCATTCCAATAAATTGCATTAACAGGCGCCTACCTCCTACCCGCCATGCCATCCTTTCCTCCTCTTCACTTTCCTCCATCCCTCCTCTTTCATATTATTTACCTCAACAATCAAATCTCCCCCTCACTTCAAGTTTGTATGGACCTCCTAGAGTGAAATTTCTACTCACAACATCAAACTGAGAAAACCTCTCCCTTTTTTTTTCCCTTTGACCACCCTTTTAACGTCTGCAGATCAACATTCGACCTTTTTTTTCTTTTTTTAAGGGGGTTGCGAGGGGTGTCGGGAACAGTGCAGGGCGCTGGAAGCACCGTGTTCAGCCCTCCATGTTGGCACAGTGGATCCACCCATAGACAGGGGACACTCAAGGGCGCGGAACACTCGACCTCGACCACGCACACACACGTGGGTAGGTGTCAAGCAAGACCAGTTCTTCTCGATGCGCTATACCCGATTCAGGTTCCAAGGCGCCCCAAAGTGACACGCATGGAGGCGATCACACACCCTGTCGCCTGACTTCTCATTCAACGGTGAAGCATTCATGTCTCCTCCACCGTGTTCAGCACTCCATGTTGGCACAGAGGACCCATCGACAGACACGGGACTCTGTAGGACGTCGGAGGGCCGGACACACCGTGTTCAGCCCTCCATCTTCGCACAGAGGATCCACCCATAGACAGGGGACATTCAAGAACGGAACACAACCTCGACCACACACACACATACCCGGGCAGGTATCGAGACTGGTGCTTCTGGGCCCCCCAAGGAAGGGCCAGCAACTGGGTGCGCTATACCCGATTCAGGTTCCGATGCCCCCCAAGGAAGGTGACCTGCCGGAAGGCGATCACGCACCCTGTCGCCTGGCTTTGCATTCAACGGTGAAAAATGCACGCGTCTCCGCGTAAACCATGCCTCAAATGTTCTCTCACCCTGCTGCTGCTATCGTAATCAACCTGCACCCCGCCCTCCTATTTACAAATCTGAAACATGGCACACGAGGGCGCTCTTTCCACAGTGAAGAATGCACGCATCTGCACATAACCATGGCCAAAATCCTCTCTTATCGTTCTGCGATCATAATCCATCTGCAGAAAGAAGGTTCTCAGCAATACAAAGACCCTTGTCCMCCCCCCCCCCCCCCYCCCCCTTGTATAAAACCTGAGACAGMGCAACATTCGATTCCTCATCTAGCTTGCGTCTTATCAGCAAAGYCCGCCTGCCACTTCGCAGGGCACACCCCGCCGCCGAGTTCCAGAAAAAGATTACCCGCCTCGGCTGAGTTCAGACATCAAAACCTACCGAGCAGAGAGAAGGAAAAAGAAAAACAAATCTAGACACTCTCGAGCCCCAGTCCCTTCCAAATAGGAAAAATAGAACTTGCAGAAACGAAGAGGTTGTTTAGTCCATGTGGCTGGATGGTAAACACAAGTAACTGTTAGCAAACAGAATATGAGTACAAATCCTGATGGAATCAGATGAACACAGTAAATTTCGGTGCTATCCCCTTCTGAAGAAGGGGTTGTTTGCCGACATAAAGAGTTAACAGCAAGGTGTAGTTTGAATGTGTCACAAAAAGATCAAATGTCTGCAGCCAAAAAAAGGGTGGAAGGAAGAGCAGGGCCAAGGGGACGGAGGAGAGAGGAGGGGAATCATGATTGGGTGGGAGTGCCGTGCTTGCGGATCACTTACCTCGACAATGAGAGGAGTCAAGATAGACTCGAGCCCAAAAAGTTTGCTTCCGACAGCAGCCGTAACCCTCTTGACAACTTCCTCCTGGTTTCTTACATCCAGCTCCTCACTGCCCTTCTCGACAATCTGCTCCAAGATCTCCAGCGACTGCCAACATGCATTCCCAAACACACAACCTGTCACTGCTTGCTGTAGATTGACCAGCTTACAAAAAGCCTATTCATGCTTGCTTTCGTACGTGTGAAACGACAACAAGGGTATGTTGTCACGTAAGGCAAGGGTATCAACAAGGGTACGTTTGAAACGACAACAAGGGTACGTTTGAAACGACAACAAGCCTATCCATACTGGGCAAAGTTTACTTGTTATGGTATGTTATCACGCAAGGCAATGAAGGGTTTGGCATTATACTCGTCTTGAAAAAAAGGGCGGATGCCATGCTCAATCTTGAAATTAGGATGGTCTGAGCTTTGCGGCGACACGAAGGAGAAAGGCCTTGGTCGAAATGATGTTCGAAGCTGGCTACCAGCCGGGCCGCCCGGGTCACTTTGTTTGACCGGGCGGCCCGGCCGTCCGACGCCCAGCGAAGGGTCCAGCAAAAGACCAAAAAAATCAAAAATCTGAAAAAAAACTATGTGATGCACAACAATAAACTGAACAGCTTTTGCCTCAGGGTCAGATCGAAATTCTTTACCCTGCGCAAGGATGACACGAATAAATCGAGAAATTCTTTACCAAAGTTGAAATAGAACATAAAATTAATTGCTCGATTGATCAAAACTCCTGTGTTTTGGGGTTGGTAACTAACCTGGCTTCCTCAATGTCCTGGCACATAACGAGATATATCAATATAATACCAAAGTAATTTAATAAAACGACATATATATCGTCAAACAGAACTGCCCGCGAAACCGTCGGGCTGATTGTTGTGCGGCTCTCTCTCAAATGGTTGACAACGAACCAAGCCCATGCAACTCCCTCCTCCCCCGGCTCTCTCTCTCTCTGTGTGTGTGTGTGTGTGTGTGTGTGTGTGTGTGTGTGTGTGCCACAATCATTTCCCCTTGCTGTTCTCTCTCTCTCTCTCTCTCTCTCTCTCTCTCTCTCTCACACACACACACACACAAACACAATGGCGGCGGCAAAAAGCAGCGCGCGCGCCCTAACTTTCTTTTTTTCTTTGTCAATGATGGCTAGAAGATCTCTCTCTCTCACACACACACACATCTTTCAATGATGGCGGGAAGCTCTCTCTCTCTCTCTCTCGCACACAAACACACACGCATACAAACACAGTGGCGGCAGCAAAAACCGGCGCGGGCGCCCGAACTTCTACTTTTTCTTTCAGTGGTGGCGGGAAGCTCTCTCTGTGTGTGTGTGTGTGTGTGTGTGTGTGTGTGTGTGTGTGTGTGTGNGGGGGGGGGGGGGGGGGGGGTTGAGAAATGGAGGGGCTATTTTCCAGATTCAAGAGTCGATTTTATACCTCGACATCGATCATCAGATTCACCTAAATAGGCCTAGAGGCAATCCAGCAGGGTCTGCTGCTACGTACTATATTTCATAACTCGGCATCGATCATCAAATTCATAACTACTACTGTATTATCTGGAGTTGATTTTTCACAGTAATTATTCATAGGCCCAGACGTAATGCAGTTGGGTGTTCTCCTATATACTATTGGCTATCATGGAACACAAACCGATGCATCCGTGCACCCTAATGATCATTTCCAGAAAAACAAATTTCCAGAATGGGCTTGTCCATTTCCCTCATCAATCCCTCGTCACCATGCACGATCACACCTCCAGAAAAACTTAACTGAAAAGTATGCAAATTCACCGCAGGAAAAAAAAAAAAAAAAAATCATCAGCATACGCTATCGCCTTTCCTGACATCGAACGTACAGAGGCCACATAACTTCGCCCTGTTTGGAGTTCTGCCTTCAATCATCAAAAAACTTCTGATGCATGCGCTTCTTCATTTCATGGGACGTGAGACCGTTCAGAGAAGAGACGGCAGCAATGAGGTACACAAGAATCTCAACACAGCACAGTTCAAAGAGGAAATGCAACCACCAAGACCATCCAAAGGTTTTCCACATTTAGCCTGATATAGGTATGTATATAGTCATGTAGCTGAACTTAGTTTTCTATTTGTCACATTTAGCCTGATATAGGTAGGTATATAGTCATATAGCTGACTTAGTTTTTTATTTGTCACATTTAGCCTGATATAGGTATATAGTTACATGGCTGAACTTAGTTTTTTATTTGTCATAAAGAAAACTGTCTGAAGATAAATATCGCACACAGAAAACTGTCTGAAGACAAATATCGCACACAAAAAACTGTCTGAAGATAACTACTCTGAAGATAAATATCGCACACAGAAAACTGTCTGAAGATAAATATCGCACAAAGAAAACTTAGTTTTGTATTTGTCATAACAAAAACTGTCTCAAGATAAATATCGCACAAAGAAAACTGTCTGAAGATAAATATCGCTCAAAGAAAACTGTCTGAAAATAGATATCGGATAAACAGGTGTACTCAGTTCGTTTTTTTTTTTTGGGTCACGAAAAGAACTGTCGGAAAATAGACAACGGCTACGAAGGTGACTTTGTCATTTTTCACAAACAAACCTGTCTGACGAAAAATATTCATATCTAAAATTCTAAATCTAGATTCTGTTTCCTATTTGTAAAATAAACGATAAAAGAAATATGGTCTGACGATAAGAAACAGTCTGACGATATGTATCTGGACTACTTTCTCACCTTCTTTGGGGTAATGGGCATAATCCACAGGAAACCAACGAACCTACCTAGCTCAGTTGCTACACCCAAGGACCGTTGAAATCCAGACCTGAGTTCAAATCCTACTGGACCTGGATGATGGAATAATACTTAAATCATTCTGAATTCCCTACCGTCTGCTGAATCTGATGACTTGGTTGTCCGATTTGCGATAATCATTCCAAAAAATTGAAGCTCGTTCTGAACGTCTTCTCACCTTGTTGGAAGCTTTGTTATAGCCGGCAATAATCTCGCTGGGATGAAGACCACTCGTGATCAGTTCCTCGGCACCAGATAGCAGTTCGCCCGCCAGAGTGATGACAAGATTAGCGCCATCGCCGACCTCCTCCTGCTGTGACTTAGCAGCGAGGACGAGCAATTTGGCGGCAGGATGCTGTACCTCAAGTTCAGTCATGATGGTGCCCGCATCGCTTGTAACAAACAGCTTCTCCAAATGATTGATCACGATCTTGTTCATTCCTGCACAACACCAAACCAATCAAGGAATCAATCAATCAGATCTTAGGTTCAAAGAAGTATCGATAGAACGGAAAAGATCCCAGCCAGATCTATCCCGGCAAGGAAAACCACACTGCCTGCCGACTGGCAATCACTGGACCACGGCAAAACGATGCACTTATTGATGTGATTGTGTATAACAGGCTAGGAGCGGAACAGACGGCAAAGAACCAAAAGAAATAGAAAGAGAGAGAGAGAGAGGGAGAGGGAGGGAGGGAGGGAGGGAGAGAGGACAGTAAAGAAGAGAGAGGGAGAGAGAGGGGGAGAGGGAGAGAGAGGGAGAGAGAGGGAGAGAGAGGGAGAGAGAGGGAGAGAGAGGGAGAGAGGGAGAGAGAGGCAGAGAGGGAGAGGGAGAGAGGGAGAGAGAGGGAGAGAGAAGGAGAGAGAGGGAGAGAAGGAGAGTGGAGAGCGAGAAGGACGGTGGAGAAAGAACGAAAGAGGATGGATGGGAGAACGGGAACCAAGACGCGACAGAGACAATGAGGCAGACGGAAAGAAAGAGCTACAGTAGGAGGAAGAAATGGAGGCAGAGACGCGAGGGAATCGTCGAGGAAAGGAGGGGGAGGGGTAAGAAGGGGAGGAAGAGAGCCAAGGAGGGGGAGCGAGAGACAGAGAGAGAGAGAGAAAGAGAAAGGGTGTACAGAGAGAGACAAGGAAAAGGCGAGGAATCCGCGAACAAACAAATTGGAAAAAAAAAAAAAAAACGAGGAAAAGCCGATCTTCCTCTCTCTCTCTCTCTCTCTCTCTCTCTCTCTCTCTCTCTCTCTCTCTCTCTCTCTCTCTCTCTCTCTCTCTCTCCCAACCATCACCGAACACATCAGCGGACTCACACAAACGAATCCCATCATCACCCTCTCTCTCTCAAAACACACGCACAAGTCTATGAGCGCTCGCAAAGACCACCGCCAACGCGCAATGACGACATTCACAGAAAGATCCGTTGCCGAATGCACATGAGGTATAAAGGTGTGCCATCCCTCACCATTGGGTCCGAGCGACGTCCGGGTAATTTGTGACAACTGCTTGCACGCGTCTATGTTCTTGAGAACCGCCTCATCCAATCCGGATAGCACTTTGTGTCCCTCTTTGAGCATAGACTGAAAGCCGAAAGGCTGTCCCATACCGAAGAACGCCATGGCTTCTACTCTGCAATTGATCTCTGCCCGAACGGCGATGACGAAGCGAGCGATTCAATCAATCAATCAAAATCAATCAATCAACGAATCAATCAACCGATGGCTCGATGGACCAAACGAGCAGGCAAGATCGAGCAAGTCAATCAGTGACAAGCAATCACACGGCACACGTCGTGCGCGCGATGGTTTAAGAGAGCAAGCAAGACGAGAAACGATGACGAAGACGCAGAGAAGCTGCCCTCTACAACAAGATACGAAAAGAGCGATGGTGTAGTCGAAGATAGAAGAAGACCTGGGGACCGGAACAGCTACCAGGCAATAATTCCTGCAGGTAATTGCTGGGAGTTCGAAAAAAGAGAGATATGGCTGGGACAGGTATCATGCATGTGCTGCAATGGCATGCATTAGAGAAGTGGGTGAATCACACTCGGAGGAGATGGAAAATCGTCACCAGCACCTCCGCCAATAGTCAAATCGAGCAGCAAAACAATGCACGCCGACTGCAAGTGTGAAAACGCACGGTGATCGCCGTGTAGACCAACCGCGGAGGGCGGGCCAAGGCAGCAACGCCGGATCTCGCCTCGGTCCCTACCCTACCGCGGGACCGACATCCCACATGCGGGTGGGCTTGTAGGTTGGGACAATTTGCCACGGCGGGAGGCGGGAAACTGAAAATTCCTTCTGGATCCAGTGGCCTAGCTCAGTTGGTAAGGCGCGCAAGTAGCATTCAGGACGTCTTGGGTTCGATCCCCAATGGCCTCATACCTTCCCTGGGCAAGCTTGGCGCCCGCCACCTAGAGAAAGCCCGTTCGTCCCCCCGCTCCGCACCGAGCACTGACTGCTGATGTTCGTAGTTGGGCGGGGACCACAGGGGAGGCACAACGACTGGCCCATAGAAGAAGCTCGGTCCTGGGGCAAGGTCCCACTTGCGCAAATTAGGAGATTTCGGGTAAGTGGGACCTAGCCCCTGATGCTCCCGGCTGACCCCTGGCCGGTATCCCCCACCTGCAGGTTGGGTGCAGCCCTCACATGTCCCCTTGTACGGGGTTCCCCGTAATGCTAAAACGAAAGATAAATAAAAGCGGCCTGAAAGGCCGTCCTGTCCAGATTTGGGAGGTACTTGAATTTATTTATTTTATTATTTTTCTTAGGGATAATTTGAGATAAATTTGCAAAACCCCCCATAAGTTGAGATAAATGCCGATGCCCCTGAAAGATGTGGGTAGAGCGGAATGCCATTTTGGACCGAAATCGTTGTGTTGCGCCCCTGTCAGGCGGGTGTGAAAATTTGCAATTTGACCTCCCCGTTTGGGCTTTGGCCTTTTGCAATAGCGCCTAGGAAAAGTTGGCAAGTACTCGGGCATGTTGCAAAGTTGGACGGTACCCTGTAGAGGTATATTGCAAAGATGGGAGTCCAACAGACGCTAGGGGTATTTCACAATATATCTTTTTTGTTAGAGGGGCATTCAGCTCTACCCACATTTTTTAGGGGCATTTTGGTATATATTTCAATTTATGGGAATATTCTACAAATTGTTCTTTTTTTTCAAGTTGCCTTTTTCGTCATTGAGGGACAACCATATATTTTTCTCTCACCTCACATATTTTTCTTTCACTACCTACCTACCACTACTCATAAGGCTATACAGGGGACCTCTGCAAGCATACCTTTCTACCTCTCTTCGGTGAATGAGAGGTTACCTTTCTTGTGTCGCTCTACAAAGAATATGTGGCTGCTAAAAATTAGCAGATAAACTTCATATTGGACATGTGTTTCAAGGATAGGATATTTCCCTAGGGGTTAAGCATAGGCATGACTGAAAATTAGAAATACATCACTCATTTTTATCTAAATTAAGATTTTTTTGAATACAACGTCTAGTAGTTGAAACAAAACGCAATGATAATTTTGTTCCTTGGTGATGAAAAAATAAGTAACCTTCAAAATAAGTTGGTAACGGTATATAAAAACTTTTGGTATGACTTGGGTCTCTTAGACCATAGAGAGCGAAAGGCAACCGTTTCAAGTAAAGCGCTCGTCATGTTTAAATTTTATGGGGAATCACCGAGAGGAGCACCAGTAAAGGCAACTTCGTTGCGGCTCAGTAAACCCAACCATCCTATAGATTTAACAATTACTGGTAATACGATTGTTATCAATATATCACAATCAACTACTTGTGCTAGGATAATTGAAAATTTATTAGCATGGAAAAAAAGGAGTAAGAGCATAAATTGAGAAAACATATTGAATTAAAAATATATATATATATATATATAATCAGGGTTGTTGGCATTCGGCCGAACGCGAAAAAAAAAAAAAAAAAAAATTTCCAAAAACTCTGAAAAAAAACCTATGTCATGCAGAAGAATAAACTAAGCAACATTTGCCTCAACAGTACATCCAAATTCCTTACCAGATTTGAAATAAAAATCAAATACGAAAAATAAATACTATTAATGAAAATAAGAAAAAAAAAATCGAGAATGAAATTATTGCGTGGGCGAGCAAGTTTTTGACACCGCCATCTTTGGCGATTTTTCATTGTTTTTTTGTTTTTTCAAATGCCATGAAATTTTATACATATGTATCTTACATAATAGAGAACCTACAAATAAATTTTTAAAAAATAATATTTTTTTTTATGGCCCCGAAATAAAAGGAAAACAAAAAGTGAAAAGAGAAAAAAAACAAATTAGTAAGTGGGAAAGCAAGTTTTGACACCACCATCTTTGCCGATTTTTCATTATTGTTTGGCTCCACAGAATGACTTCAAAATTGAGAGACAGGTAGCTTACATAACAGAGAACTCACAAAAAAAAATCAGAAAAAAATAATAATTYTTAGGTACMAAAMTAWTKTTTTGCGGGGTCCGAACCCCTTCGAGTTCGGGCCCCGTACGGGGACCCGAATTCCCGAACGTTCGGGGGTCAGCTTAGGGGCCTCCGTACGTTCGGTCTGCCAACTCTGTATACAATAATAATATATGTTAAAGAAAAAACTATATTCTGCAAAACAATAAATCGAACAACTTTTGTTTCAAGGTCACATCAAAATTCTTCACAAAAAATAAATAAATAAATAAATAAAATTATTATTTTATTTTTTAGATTACCAGTCGGGTCACCTTGATCACCCCACTGGTCCAAGGACTAGGGAAGATCCCAGCCGAAAAAAAAAATTTCCAAAAAATCCGAAAAAAAAAACTATGTTATGCAAAAAAAAAACTGAACAGCTTTTGCCTCAGGATCACATCGAAATTATTTACCAAATTTAAAATAAAAATTTAACTTAAATAATAATTATTATTTTTCTATTTCCTTTTGGCCCAGTTGGGCAAGTGGATCCGAGTCACTCTGGTAGCCTAGTTTTTTTTTTTTTTTTTTTTTTGGCCTAGCCGGGCAAATGACCCCGGGTCACTCCGGTAGCCTAGTCAATCATTAAATTTTATTATTAAGCAAATGAGATTGAAAAAAATTACAATAGAATGGCGCCGAAGACAAACGAGATGACAATTGAACGGCTCTGAAGACAAACGAGGTCACTACCATCACACACTATTTAGCATTCAAATCTAAGTCAAAGTGGACTAACCTAAGTTCATATTCATCCTCTTTCTGCTTGAAGGTATGAGACTTCAATATCGCCTCGAAGGTATTTCCGATCGTGGTTTTTAGGGGGGAAAAATGTATTATATTAATTATAATAAATTAACTATATGGTATATTGTTATTTTACAGTATATCTAGGCTACCAGAGTGAACCGGGTCCACTTGTCCAACCAGGCCATAAAATAATTAAAAAATAACTAAATAACTAGGCTACCAGCCGGGCCGCCCGGGTTCTGGGTGACCAGCCCGTGCAAGGAGGTCCCAGCAAAAAAAAAAAAAAAACAACAAATCCAAAAACTCCGAAAAAAACCACTATGTTATGCAGAAAAATAAACTGAACAACTTTTGCCTCAGGGTCACATCGAAATTCTTCACCAAAATTAAAATAAAAATTAAAAACTAAAAATATATATATATATATATATTTTTGGCCCGGTCGGGCAAGTGACCCCGGACCATTCTGGTAGCCTAGCTAAATAATATATTTTTTATTGAATTTTTTATTTTAAATTTGATAAATATTTTTGATGTAACCTTGGGGCAAAAGTTGTTCAGTTTATTTTTCTTCATAACATAGTTTTTTTCGGATTTTTTCGATTTTTTTTGTTTTGGCTGAGACCTTCCCTGGTCCTTGTACGAAAATAGGGTAACTCGGGCGGCCTGACTGGTAGCCTCGCAGTATATTCAATATTGTTGCTAAGATCATTTATGGAGGGAAAAAAAAAACAGTATGCTATTTTTTTCGGTTCAGATTTTGTCATTTTGGTTTTTAATCATTCACTGAATGATTTTAGGTTCCGAAATGACTAGCAGTGTGGATCCCAAGAGAGGGTGATTATTGTTTTTAAGTAATCAGTGTTGGTGCGACATCTACCAGACATTCTACTACACTGAGGAGGATGCATGTTCAACTTCCTCCTTAAGGACATATGTTGCAATTAACCCATTTCATGACTTGTAGGACCGACTTGTGCTGCAACTTCTTTCCTTCTCCTGATGTGTTCCACGAGAGAGGACCCTCTGTTGATTTTCATTGCATACTAGGTTTTGTCGAGCCTAGGTCCCATCGTATTTTCTTTTTGGTACTCACAAGGCTACATTCGAAAATTGCCTTGGGCACTGCACCCTAATATAATTTTGGGTTAAAGAAAAAAAAAAATCCTTAACGTCGTCGTAGTCATCAGATACATTTTATAAGGCGCTGGTGAGACTGTCCCTCAGCAAGGGCATTCGTCCTTATGGAAAACAAATGAAGAACAAAAAAAAAAAATTTCCTTATAATGCAATCGCGGTCTAATACCGAACACCACAGTGCTGATGTGAGTATGTCATGAGTGAGGCAGTTACTTGCCCCCTGTGGAATCCACCCTGCCTCATTGGCAGAACATAAAAAATCAACAAAAATAAAGGAAAAAAAAATAAAAAAATACGCAATCGCAATTCACACATATTGACCAGATACATTCCTTAAGTCATTGGTATCACTTTCACCTTTACAAAGGTCTTCCCCTATAAAAAGAAATGAAAAAAATATATATATATATATATCCCTTATGATGCGATCGCAACCTGATATAAAAGTTACCGTGCTGATGTGAGTATGTCGTGAGTGAGGCAGTTCCCTGCCCTCCATGAAAACCGCCATCATGATGCCTCGCTGACAGGGTACGGAGAAAAAACGAGAAAAAAATAAATAAAATAAAAAACATAAGAAATCACGTTTCCGACATAGCAGTCATATACATTCCTCAAGGCACTAGTGTGAATTCCATCTCAGTGAGGGTCTTCACGACATCGTCGGATTCGACGTTCTCAATCTTTTATTATATTTTTTTCCTTACCAAGGGTTCGCAGGCTACCAATAGTTTTTTATTTGTTTTCTTACCGACCCTACACCGGATCCCCGTACTTTTCGGATGAGGTAATTTCCCCAAATGGGATATCGGCTTGATAC